TTACGCAGACAAGAAATATATATACACAAATAGAATTCAAGTCATATTCTTAATAGCAAAAATAAATATTCTTACACACTATAAATTTATATTAACTATCAGATAAAACCTTATAAATTTTAAATATTATAGAGTTAAATTATAGGATTACTTAGCTATATAACAAAAAATAAATAGTTAATTAGGGAGAGTGACAAAAGAGTAAGGAAGAGTGAGGGAAGTATTAGTTTTGTCATATGGCTAAATATACACTTATCTTTTGCTATGGAACCCAATTTCTCTAAAATATAAAACAATAAATTTATGTGAATAATCTCATAAAAACTTATTAAAATATTTTATAATATTTTTATAAAACATTATATATAAATCTATGATTGATAAATATCATTGATGTCATCGTTTATTTTTCATAGAGATTTATACTCGTCAAATCTTACACTTTTGGATCTTAACAGTAAATATATTATTATTATTTTATAACATGTATAAATTTTAATTTATATTTTTTTTTTAACATTGAAAAGTATAGGTAGAATATTTATATTTTCTTTGTAATATTATATAAACTATGTTTACAAAGTAAATATGTTTATAGATTTTTTTTCTTTTCATATGTTTGTGCATATAAACTTTAACATTGAGAATTTCAATTTTTTTTTTAATTTTTTTGTTTTTCAATTTACAAAAATTATTTTGTTTTTATCATTCATATTTGTCTCTTAATTTAAATTTTTATTTTCTCTTTTTTTTTTTTATTGTCTTTTGTTACACCTTTTTTTATCATCCTCTCTACTTTCCTATCCACCTTAACCTCGTGGTAAGCTTTATTTATATTTTGGGGGAAAATGTAATGTACAATCATCTAAACGTGGAGAGTGAACTCGGAAATGGTGGTTTTTTTTTCTTTTTCATGTTAGGCTGGGGCATGGAAAAAGTTCTCCGACAAAGAAACGGTTGCGGGAATTGGTGGCTGGTAGGTTAAAGGAATTGGTCAGAGATGCAGAAGCTAGGAAGTTGCCTTGAGACAAAACCCCCCGGATGGTTAGGAATAGGCATCTGCAAGTGGTGTGGCATTTCGAATGGGGTTATTCAGTGGGAAAGGAGATCTGGGACCAGGCCGTAACAGAGCATTCGCTGTCACAAGCGAAAACCGTGCAAGTGATACGAAGCTGAGATTTTTTTTTTTTGTTTCTTATGTTGTCAAAACTACAAGGTATAGCTGGGATGGATTCAGTTTATGTTATTTTGATTGTATTGATGAACCTCAATATAGTAATCATTCATGTTATTTGCTTCTGAGTTTTGCTTTTCTTTACATTATGTCTATGGCTATAGAAAAGTTAAAGAGCCTGCTCTGTTGTTAGAAGATTTGATTGAAAATTCACAAAACAAGCAGGTGCTTCCTTCTTCCATCTCATCTCAAATTTCTTAAGTTTATACACACCTATATATCCTGGGCGTTTCTACACCTACTTCTCTATCATGAGTCGATTATAAAGTTTAAAATTGTCTTAAAATTTTCAGGAAGCATCATTGCTTATTGAGTTTATCACATAATCATCTGGAATGGACAGAAGACTTGGAAGTGTTTATCCTCAAAGGTTATGGCAATTCCTTAAACTACAAAATGGGATTTCCATTGCTAGAAGATGTTTTGCATTCGATGGAAGAAGAAGCTATCAAGGCCCGAGAAGGTAATGTCATCTTTAAACCAGGAAAAGAAATGAACGGTTTTATCGTCGTCTTAGTTGCCAGATTTAA